GGACCTCGGACAATTATAATTGAACTGGTATTGAGAAAAGTGGGTAGTGATCTTGTTAAAACACCAGTCAGATCTTCTTAATAATTGGGTTCTTAAAAAAATGGCCCAAAAAGGAAATTCACTAGCTATTTTAGTAAGATATTCTGAGTATTTTCACAACTTTTTACAAATATGATTGTCCAAGGTCCTATTATTATATAATGTAATTTTTTCAAAATTGAATTTATATATATATATTTTAAAAAATCAAGATATACATGTAACAATGCGTTGTGCAATGTTGGGTAGTCTGCGCATCTTGAAGGTTGTGCGATGCAGTTTTACAATTTAAGATCCTGATGTATTCTATCAACTAATAACGCTATTTTTTTAAAAGGCAGGACAGAAAGTGACTCCTATATTTTTAAAATTTATGCAAATTTAGGAGGTCTTTAGACCAAGCCAACTATAGAAAAACGCGTTATTTCTAAAAGACATGAGATAAAATAATCAGTATAGTAGCATACATGTGATATATAGAAGAGAGAGAATATCAAGACCAAGATGAATTTCTGCTTATTATGTTAATAAAAAGAATTCAAGTCGTTTTAATTTATTTTAAATTTTCTCTAAATTTTTTTTATTATTTTTATTTATTTTACATTTTTTTTATTTTATATATTTAAATTTTATTTATATACAATGAATGCACCAAAAAAAATTATTTTGATTTTTTGCCATCAAAGAAATTTAGATTTTTGAGTGTATATTGTGTGTAAAGAAATTAGTCTAGAAAGAAGGGGAATGAATAATTAAAAAAGAAAAAAGGAAGAAAGAAAGAAAGAAAGAAAGAAAAGGGGAAAAATTATAAACAAAAGGAATAGAATTGAAGTTAAAAAAAAAAAACTGACCAAATTTTAAAAAGAAAAAAGAAATTTTACAAAAAAAAAAGTTTTATAAATAAAGAAGAAATTTTTGATAAATTTCTAAATTTTAAAAAAAGTGTGGAATCATGTATATTTGAATGATTTGTGTAAAAAAATATATCGTGTTATATAACTTAAATTTGTAGTGTTAGAAATCTTATATATTTATATATAAATAATAAAATAAAGGGTGGATATATAATAAATCATAAGAATTTTAATAAAAGAATTTTTTTATTATAAGTTAATGAAAAAAAAAAGGAACAATTTTAAAAAAATAAAATAAATTTACAACAAACAATTTATATATATTATCAAAGGATATTTCATCATCAACAACAACAACTTTTTAATGAGAAAATCCATCTCAATGATAATAAAATAGTTTGTTTTCTGCCGGTCTATATTTTTATATTTAAAAAAAAGGAAAAAAGAAAAGAAAAAATTTACAAGGTTGGCAGTCTATATTTGCACGAGAATCAAAAGAATAGAAAATATCAAAATTGATACGTTCATTTCGTTTAACCCTCGAATCTCTATTTGTATATATAGTCTATATATATATTTATATAAAAAAATAAAAATAAAAAAATGCAATATATGTTCTATATGTGTTTGTATGTATATATTTATATATTTATAGAAAATAGAAAGGTAAGGGGAAAGATTTTTTATATAAACACGATGAAAAAAATATATAAAAACAAAATATTTATAAATGTTGAAATGGGTTATAAAGAAAGTAAAAATAGAAAGTAAAAAAAAAAAAAGGAAATTTAAATTTTACAAAGATGAAAAAGAAAAATAAGAAAAAAAAATTTTTTATAACTATTTATTATATTTATATGATTTTAATTTTAGTGTCCATTGCACAAAATTTTTTCTAAAATTTATAATTACAAATTCCTTTTGATAACTACCATTCCTTATCCCACCCTCTCTTCTTATAGTAAGAATATTTTCAAATTTTATTGATGATTTTGAGCATTAGGGTCAATTAACAATCCATGAAGCATTATTTGTTGTTGTTTAATACCATCTTCAAATTCGGCTAAAAGCTGTTGAGAATGACGACGTGGGCCTTCAAGAGCATAAGAGTAATGATCTGCTAAAGAAGCGCTAGAGTCACTGTCAGTTGATGATGTGATGTCAAATGATGAAGACGATGATGATGGTGAGTTGAATCCATTATGATGTTGATGTTGATGTTGATGTTGATGGCTATAATTATGATTGTGATGATTATTGTGCTGATGGTGGTGATGGTGGTGATTGTAAATGTTATGGTTATTGTTAGGATAATCATGAAAGAATCCACCATGTTCTTCAATAGGAGAATCAGCAAAATGGCCCATTGCCATTAATTCATAATCAGTAGCAGACATTTCCATAGGTGAAGATTGATAATAAGTGGTGGCGGTGGTGGTAGAAGGATCAGTTACAGTAGCAGACTTTATGATTTGATTATTATAAGAATCGAGAACAAATCCATCATCGACCGGTAATGAACCACGAGAACAAACATCAATTTGACGAGTATACAATTGATTTAATTGATCAATTTCGTTATAAATTGTCTGGGATGAAGCCAAATTTTGTGGTGATAATATTAAATTAGGATGATGATTATTTCCATTAACATTATTATGATTATTGTGAATATTGGATTGAGAAATCTCGCCAGCCTCATAACGTAAAGCAGATCTTCCCACGCTATTGTTACATTGAAAAGTCGGAGGAGACAAGGATGCAGGTGAGCCAGCAAAAGGTGAAAGTAAAGGGGTTGAGACGGTGGAATCGCTTGTCCAAGAACTTAAAGAATCAACAGACGATGATCTATAATGACCAAAAATAGCTTTTTTCTGTAAATGCTGTAAATAGATATCTTCATGATCATCAGCAGTAGCAATTCCTTCCAGACCTAAAGAATAAATTGGTTGTTTTTGTTTTACGTCATCTTTATTATTGCTGTTATCATCACCACACATTATTTCATTGTTAAAACCATCAGCAAAAATCATCTTTGAATCTACAACATTCTTTTTACGGCAATTGGTAATAGAAGTAGTGTCATTTGTAGTAGTGGTATTGGTAGTGTTAGAAGAATTATTACTGATGATATTTGTAGTTATGTTATTTATGTTTATGTTTGTAGTAGTAGCAGTAACAGTAGCACCGTTAGTTATAGAGCTGTTGTTTGTAGTATTTTTTGTATTAGTAGAGGTATTATTATTATTATTACTACTACTACTACCATTACTATTGTTATTGGGTTTGTTGACATTGTTACTCTGACAGTTATTAGCAGAAGAACTCTTTAAGCTTGGTTTCTTTTTTTGTGGTTTAAATTTATAATTCGGATATTTAATTTTATGTTCAAGTTTAAGTTGTTTTGCACGTTCTCTCCAATGCTCTTTAACGTCTTCAGGTTCATTATTCCACATATTAGCAGCAAGGACCGATACTACCTTATTATTAATTCCAGGATTTTCAATCAAAAATTTTTCTTTTATATGTTCTCTATATGCCATAAAACAATTTTTAGGACGGGGAATATAATTTTTATCAGCCTTTCTTTTACGATAAGCAGAAAGACGAACTGGCGATGTTGTTGTTGCTGCATTATTATTATCTTTGTTGTTATTATTGTTATTGTTATTACTAGTAGCAACGTTAGTTGATTGAGAAGATGAAGTAGTAATTGAGGATCTAGATTTTGGAATATCGACTGGTTTTGAGATCGAATTTGATGAATTGGTGACGATAGAAGAACCTTTATTGTCATAATCAATTTTGGATTGAGAAGCATCGATGATATCTTGAGCAATTGAATCAGAATTCAAAGAATTTTCATGAAAAGATAAACGTTGTTGTTGTTGTTGATTATATTCTCGTTCTTGTTCTTCTTGTTTCAAAGGAACTATTACAATGTCATAGCCTATTGGTATGCGATAAATGTTATAATCCTGTTCATTATTTGAGGAGGAAGAAGGAGGAGGAGAAGAAACTGAAGAAGGAGTTGTGGGAGTTGAAGATGACCACATTGTTGTTTCTTCTTGTTCTTGTTTAAAATAAAATGGTGTTTCTGGAGAAGCTGCAATATTATTATTATTTGTCGTTGTAGAAGAAGTTGCAGTTGCCATATTTGAATTTGAATAAAATTTTTACTTCTAAATATAATAGTTATCATTTAATAATTTAATAACAGTTAAACAGTTTAGTTAATAATAATAATAAATTAAAATGACAACAATACAACAATAATGGTAATCATTATTTACTTACAGTATTATATTGTTGTTTGTTGAAGAATAGAAAGTAAAATTCTTTTCCTTTGTTTTATAAGAATATAGATATATTATCGAGAGAACAATAAATATAATTATTAAATGATAGAATGTTTAATTATTAATTATCAAATTAAGCGAAATTAATTAATTAATCCACTTGCTTGCTTACCTAACAATTATAATAATTTGTTTTAGACAAAGGATGGCTTTTTGCAAAGAATGTGTAAGGCACAAAAAATAAAATTATTTAAATAAAGAGAAAAATAAGGACAAAAAAATTTTAATAGTTTTCTTCTAATTATTTTATTTTTATTTTTATTTATTTATATATCTATGTATATATAATTTTTTAATTTATTCTTATTACTATAATAATAATAATAATAATAATAATAATAATAATAATGGGAAATATTATAGCGTTGAATGCTCACAGAGCAAAACTAGTATATATCTAAAAGTGTATGTATGTATGTATGTATGTATTTATTTATTTATTTAAAAAAGAATCTATAATTTAAGAGATTTAAAAAAAAGAAAAAACCTTAATATTTTATTTATTTTTTGTTTATTTTATATAATAATGATATGTGTGCGTGTGTGTGCGCGAAGAGAAGAAAAGAAAAAGATAAAAAAATTTTTTGCAAAGAAAAAAAGTGCAAAAGAGAAAATAAAAAGAAGAAAACTAAAAGCTAAACAAAAATAAAATAATGAGAAATTATAAAAAATCAAGGGAACACCAAAATACAAATATATATTTTTTCTTTTTTGTGTGTGAGCGTGTTATATATAAGAAAAAAAGTGTATAGATAGATATAAACTACACATCAGTCAGTTATTCGATTAGTTAACTTATATTGGATGATGACGCGATAATGATGTGATGATAATGAGGATAATGAGAGATGAAATTTTCTCTCGTTAATTAATTAATGAGCTTTAATCACAGAATGCTAGGTGCCAAGAAATTTAATTGGCGAAGATTTTGCTTTAGTTTTTATCAATAAAGCCTAGAACAACTTTGCTAATTATAATTACCAGATAGATAGATAGATGTATACTGTATTTTACTACATATGCTTTAAAAAATATTTAATATAGTAGTTGTGTGTGGTGGTAAAAAGTAGACGTTCCAATAAATATAATGTCGTAATACAGTTCTTCTCGTTTCAGGAAAGTTGTCTTTACATAATAAAATTACTAACACTAATTTATCTCGAATAAAATAGAATAAATCGTGTAACATTTTATTTTTACATCACATCATCATCACCATATTTTCTCAATGCTGCTAATCCACTTTCTTGTTCACTCTTCCTCTAGTAACGTTTCGAGATGAAGATCATGAGTAAATTAAGTTTAATTTAAATTTTATTTATTTTATTTTATTTTAATTCCAAATTTGTCAAATTACAAAGTAAGTAATAACTGATACATTATAATCATCGTAATCAATCAAATCAAAAACAAGTTTTCATTACCATTTCTGTATTTTCGGCGGGTTACCATATGAAAATAGGTGGTAGCATTATATTTTTTTTACTCATAATATTAGTAATGATTTAATTAATTGAATTATTCTGTCTGTGGGTGAGGTATCTTTTATTAATTGCCACATTATTTTAATATTAAAAATATTCATCTCTCCATGTGTTTTAAAATATCCCTTGTTGCATAAATTTTCTTCTCTACGACGAGATTTTAAAAAAATGTTAAAAAGTAGAAACGCCAAAATATAAATGTAAATGTAAATAAACTATTTATCTGTTAGTTTAGCTAGGAGCTTGTTATTAAAATAGCTTATTTAGGGAGTTTGCTGGATGGATAGATTGGGTCAATCAATCGATCGAATAATAAATTTGGAGATTATCTATCAATCAAGTGATCAAATCTGAACATCTTTTTTTGGATATATGTAATGATCGTTATTTTCTTATTCGTCATAATTTTATTTTAAAAAAAAACGACGTTTATATTTAATAACGATGACTAAAATACGTTAACGCTAATTTGGTGGCATTTATCCTAGCCTAATAATGGAATTATAAAAAAATTTCATAAGCCTTCTTACAAAAAACGAAAGGATGAAAAAAGATAAATATATTCACTAGGGCTGCTTTTTTTTCGTTGATACGCCTTATTCTATTCCTGAGAAAAGAAAATTCTAGATTAAGTCTGATTTATGTAATCGCTAAAAAGTTTTAATATTAATGAAACTAAAAAGGAAAATAGTTTTTTTTCGATCAGTAAAAAATGGGCCACAAACAAAAGGATTAAAATTCGCACCGGCAAGATTTGCTTATTAAAGTAATTGTTTATGTATGTATGTATCATTATCACGAATAAATTTATTTTTATCAACATTAATAGACTTTTCCTTATGTTTTAGGGTGAACAATCTTCTTCTATTAGCACATTACTTGTACACCATCACAACATCCACCATCTATAATTACTACTTGACAACAATAACAACAATAAAGATCTACTACTATTATTGCTGCTCCTCCGGTGTCATATAACCTAAGCCAATCACCGTAATTAAATCAATCTTAAAACTAAGAAGCTGAACAATAAATAAATACTTAATGGTCAAAAAATTAAAATTAAAAACCAAGAAAAGTATATGGGTGATAAATAAACATTTTCACATTATTAAATAAAAATAGAAAAAAAATGGGATGACGTGGTAATAATTTAACTCGTTTAATATTAATGCCATGATTTAGGGTTTTTCCAATCGAAGAAAAAAAAAGTTTATAACAGGGGATGTAGAATTTTATTTGGGGCATACTGCAACAAAATCGAACATCGTATCACACAGAATTACAGGGATCAAAAATGTCATCATAAAATATCATCTTTTAAAACATTTTTTCAAGTCTCATTTGTTATCTTCATTTTTTTCTGTATCAGTCACAGGTATAGATGAGTGTCTAAACTAAATTATTTAGACAATGTCTGAAACATAATTAATTAGACATTTAGACAATTGAGGCCATGATTGTCTAAAATGTTGAAGTTGAATTTTTTTATTGGATAATTTACTGAACTTTGTGGATTTGTGTATACCCACATGACTTTTTGGGGTATTCAATATTGGTTGATTGTCAAATCTGATTAATACAGTCTGGGATTATACCATAAATGGAAATCAATTCTAGAATAATTTACAATCACACCTTGAAACTTAATTGCCTTTGATGATTTTTTCTACAAAAAAAAAATTTTTGAGCCATTCTTGTAAGCCTAAAGAAGGTACACATCATATAATGGTACCATAGTTTTATAATATCAACAAGCTCACCTAAGTACACAGTTTAATAATCCACTTTAATCCACAAAGGCTTACATTCTCATGTGTAATTATAGAAATTATTCAAATTCCTACAATGTCAAGTACAAGACAACCAGCTAAAACTTTACCATGTTTGTTTAAAGACACAGTTGATAAATATCCAGAGAGCCAATTACAACCATGTAAAACTGACACACAAACATGGAAGCATGCATCAGTGCTTGCTACAGTTGAAAAAGTAAATAAATAGGGAAGGTAAAATGAACCAAAACAACATCACCATAAAAATTTTACTACTGAGTCCTATTTCCAGCTAAGTATCTCCCTGAATTATCTTTATTAATAATTGTTTAGGAAATTATTCATTACATATAACTGACAATTTTTACCAGAATCTTTTAAATTCAGATCTAAGTTCAGACATACATTCAATTCAAAAAAACAAAAGTGTTTGGCAAGATATACTGGAAACAGATTCTGTTATATAAACCTTTCTTTTAATATCCATCTACTCCTGCACAAACCATGTATACATTCCATCTTTAAACTTGGAAGACAGATCAACAATTGAAGAAAGTCCTAACCTGTATTTACTATATTAGACATTTCTTTTATCAATAACCTATTTCAGAGAAATAAGAACATACTGAATAACACTCTTCATAAATTATGTTTGTTTTTTTTGTCTTTTTCCAAAATAATTTCACCATCTCATTAGTCTTGGTATTAAGAACATCAACAATTAAACAACCATCCTTTAGTTTCCATTAAATTCTATTTTACTTTGTTTACCAAATGACACTTCATTTATATCATTAGAGAACATGCTATTTTCCTCATTATTTTCTTCATCTGTTTTGTCACCTTCATCAAATTCATTATCAGAATCTATTAAAGAAAAATGGAGTGGTGATGGAGCATTACTGAATACACCAGCTTTGGTAGGTGATATTTCAGACTCATCAAGATCTTGTGATTGTACAGAGAGATCATTTGTCATCTTAATCTGTGTAAATTTCACAAGGTAAGAAAAGATCCACGGAGAGTCAATTATTATCTGTCCTGACCTTCTTAATATCATCTGAAGAAACTGAACCTGTATCATCATCATCAATCATTGATTCTGGTGGTTGTTTCCCAACATTCTTCTGTAACAATGCATAATGAAGTAAATAACCATTATTTTCTTTTTCTTTTTCTTTTTTTATCATTCACCATCACACTTATCCTTACCAATGTTATATTGACCCTTCTGATGGCAGTTTGAAGTATTGCTATGATACTATTCATCACAGAACAGACCACACCAACCTGCAACCAAACCCTATAAAAAATTGGCACAGAAATGTATGGGAAAATGTACAGAAAACTGTACGGAATTTTACCTGAAATTTGCATTTTTCCATACAAATTCCATGCATTTCCCCATACATTTCTGTGCCAAATTTTTATAGGGAAAAAATGACATTCAATATAGACAATCAATCAAAGAAAATGCTTTAAAAACTTTCAAGAAACTAAACCTAAAGCTCCTCACAAGCTGGCTTGTGAGCCAAATAACTTATTCAGCTTCATCAGGAATTTTTTTCTGACACAGATTTACATAATTATTACACTATTTATGTAAGTTTATGGTGGGCCCCATAATATTATGCAAAAATCATACAAAAGTTATGCAATTATTACATTGAATGTAAATATTACATAATTTTTTATGTGAATATTACAACTTTACATATTAAAATTTATGGATGTGATATCACAGGGGGGAAAATTTCCTGATGTTGTGAGCTGGCTCATTAACTAAATCTTGATCAAATATAGCCTTTTCCCCTAATTTTGATTTTTATATTAGCAAGGTTGCTTTTGATATTAAATAACTCTCTGAGCTTTTAAATACCACCTATTTACTATATTTTCATGCACTATATTGTTGAAAATGGGGGAAAAATAACAATTTGAAAACTGAACATTTTCTTGCAAATTTTGGAAATTCAATATGTGGTATTCCAATGATTAAATTCATTCTCTGATTTTTTAGTCAATTTATTGATGTGATTATTGCATGATGATGCATGCAATAACTAGTTTATTGTATGTCTGTCAATGAAGTTATGTTTATTGTTTTTTTTTTTAATTAATTGACTTCATCCAGAAAATATAAAAAAAATTGCACATGTCAATATAAGTTTAATAATAAAAAAGTGTAAAACTTACATCAGCACCATAAGATTTATGCGATATTACATCAGCATCATAAGATTTATGCAAGTTTATCTAAATTAATTTTCTGATGCTTCTTTATGATCTTAAATATTAAAATGACAGAATCTTTTGTACCATCATTAGAACAGATAAAAGAAATTCAATCTTCAGGCATTCTGGAAATCACAAAAAAAAAATACAACTTTCTGGGTGAATGTTTTACATAAATACAGATCAAATCATGAATTTACAACTCCAATAGAAGAAAGTCAAAACAAAGATCAACTTGAAAAAGAACTTTGCCAGTTTGTATATTAATAGTGATAAACTTATTGATAATAAAAGGATGGGAGTAAGTATTTTATTATTATTATTATTAATGCATTATACCACAAGCACACAAAATGCTCATACTGTTTCATATTTTGTCATGTTATTATTAAAATTATTTGCTTTTAGTGTATCAATAAGATTGATAAACATTATTCGAATAAGCCATTCAAAAGATCCAAATCACTTGATTCTACTAATACAGTCGGGATTATTACCAAATATGGAATTTCCAAATACTGTACAGTGCAGATCATCTAAAGACATCAAAAAAATAGGCAATCTTTAAAATGTTAAGGCTCAATAACTATATTTGAAAGTGGAAAAATTTCTCTATTTTTGCAATCTAATGGACTTAAGGAACAATGTAATAGAGAGCTTTTTTCAATATTATTAATTAAAAAAAAAGCCTTAGTGGTTTGAAGTTGCACGATTTTGCTAATAAAAATGAAATTTGACCACCAGCGATCTTTCCTTAAAAGGAAATAGCTGTAGATTCACGTGATCTAACCAATTGAAAAAATTATATATAATGATGATGATAACAGCAACTTTGATGATGGAACTTTTTTTACAACCTCTATCAGAACATCTAATGCCTTATCTAAAATTTTTAATTGGTGGTATTCAAAAATTATCATTGCTGTTATTATTGTCATATTTGATATTATAATTGCTATTAATATTATTATATGTTGAAATTTAAAAAAAATTTTTTTTGTGAAAGAGATATTGAGATTGAGATTGAGATCGATTTTTAATATGAAATTTCAATCTAGGTCAGGTAGTAAGATTGAAAAAAATAAACAAAATAAATAAAAAAGGGAAATATTGAAGTACCCAAAAAACAAAGATATCAATACTAAAATCATTAGCATTGGTATTTGTAAGTTCAAGGTTCAATTCATTTCTTTGATGATTAATAAAAGAGAAAAGAGATGTAAAAATTCCATTTTTAATTAATAATTGTTGATCATCTTGATAAAATAATTTTTGATCATGGATTGAAAATTTTAATTTCAATCCAATCTCAATCCAATCAAATATTCAATCTCAATCTCAATCTCAATCTCAATATAATAATTTTTGAAGGCACCCATTGTGTCACCGGTGTCACCAATGAATATCATCGCTATTTTGGGACTTGAAAATTTGGCCACGAGGCGCAGTATTTGATGTCTTTAGATGGTATGCACTATAAAAATTTTATTGCATTTTTGATTGGGAATTTTTTCTCAAATCTGTCATTGTGGCGCAGGAAGTTGTAGGGACTAGGTGTTCTGCACCATAACAAGATTCTATTAATAAATTTGACATAACAAAAGTTTTTTTTATTATTAAAAAAAATTTTTTTCAAAATTCATTGTAACAAAAATTCATTATCAGTCAAACGATATGTTACAGGAGGTGTAATTACACATATAAAATAGAAAATCTGACTCATGTAACCAATCAGTTTTTTAAAATATCTCATTATTTTTATAACAAATTCAAACATCATTATTAATCAAAGATAAAACCATGACATTATAGCTTTCTAATGAACCCTCTTCCATATTTATAGAGGCGCTCTATGTCAATCTATATTTATTCAAAGACAGCATTACTTTTTACTTCAAAGCTAAGATTTTTTACCAATATTACCTTTACAAACTTGATGAGTGATTGAAGAGATGTAAAATATTGTAAGTTTTCATTTAGGTATAGCTTTATGTGGATTGTTGTTTATTAAAATTTAGTGA